GGTAGTAACCTGCACTTTGGGTAATTCTTGGAGGGGCGCTCGAGTTTATATTTCTCGGCCGCGAGGACTTCATTCCATCTGTCAACTAGCAGATCTTGTCAGCTTGAAGCTGTTGCTGCTTTTTCTTCAGGCTATTTGCCGTGACCATAAGCCGGCACTTGAAGCGCTCTTGTTCGACGGGATCCTCTGGTACGGCGAATTCATCGTCGCCGAGGCTTGCCTCGTCTTCGGAGGGGGGCATGTAATTGTCATACTCCTCCTCTCCATCTGCCGCTCTCTCAGGAGAGCTGGCTCCTCCATCCTCCTGCTCTGAATCTTGCTGAAGGGGAATGTTGTTGTCTTTGGCACTATCCGGAGTGTTATTATCTCCTGTGCCGGTATCACCACTTTTGCTTTGGCGGGACCTAGAGCAGCGCTGCTGACGTCGGCGCTTGGGTTGCTTCTTGGAGGGGTCATCCTCCGCTATCTCATCGTCATTGCCTTCTTTGGATGTATCCACCATGTATATGTCATATGACGAGGTGGCTTTCCAGTGCCCTATAGGCGCTGGTTCATGTTCGTCTCCTACATCGTTGTCCATACCGTCGATGTCTTCGGAGTCAAAGTTGAGCATGTCGGTTAAATCATCGATAGTGGCTACCAAGTGGGTGGTGGGTGGGCGTCGAATTTCTTCGTCGTCCGCATCCCAATCCTGTTGGCCATAGTCCGGCAAGGGCTCTCCTGACAAAGAGAGAGACCTTAGTGAATTCAGAATGTCGCCGAAGGGCGAGTGCTGAAAAATATCCGCGGCGGTGAATTCCATGATGGGCGCCCAATCAGATTCGATTGGCAGGGGCACAGACGGTTCGGAGTCCAGAAAAGAGTCCGGCACCTTGGAGTCACGGGCTTCGCAGAGGATTAGGCTGGTGTTCGGCTCGATCGCCGTTGAGACTGCAGCCCCTGAGGCGGTGTCTAGCCACCCGTCCTCGATTGGCGCAGTTGGCTCCGAGCTAAGGGTCGGAGCTGATGCGGGCGCGGCCTCTGGGGTACTGTTCGGCGGCAGAGCTAGGTCATACCCGTCGTGATAGTGCGGCGCGCCGGGCTGTAGCTCGAATCCGTCGAAAATCAAGTCTCCGCGGATGTCGGCCGTGTAGTTCAAACTTCCAAATCTGACCTGACAGCCAGGGGCGTAGCTTTCAATATGCTCCAAATGGCCAAGCGAATTAGCCCGCAGTGCAAAGCCGCCGAATACGAAGATCTGTCCGGGGAGAAAAGTCTCGCCCTGGACCGCATCGCTATCGATGATAGTAGGAGCCATCAAGCCTAAGGGCGACGACACAGAGGACTCTCAATGAAAGCACCAATGCCGGTGTCAAAACCGGTGGATCTCGGGTAGGGGTCCCGAACTGTGCGTCTAGGCCGGATGGTAACAGGAGGCAGGGGACACAATGTTTTACCCAGGTTCGGGCCCTCTTGATGGAGGTAAAACCCTACATCCTGCTTGATTAATATTGATGATATGGGTAGTACAAGAGTAGATCTACCACGAGACCAGAGAGGCTAAACCCTAGAAGCTATCCTATGGTATGATTGTATGTTGTGGTTGTTGTTGTCCTACGGACTAAAACCCTCCGGTTTATATAGACACCGGAGAGGGTTAGGGTTACACAAGGTCGGTTACAAAGAAGGAGATATCCATATCCGTATTGCCTAGCTTGCCTTCCACGTCAAGTAGAGTCCCATCCAGACACGAGACGAAGTCTTCAATCTTGTATCTTCATAGTCCAACAGTCCGGTCAAAGGATATAGTCTGGCTATCCGGAGACCCCCTAATTCAGGACTCCCTTAATCATGTATACAAATTTTTGAAGTGAAATAAATGAAAATACTATATTCATTCTTAGCAGCGTTTACTGTGGCACTGCCACCACTGTTGGGCGGGCTTCGAATGGCGGCGACAGCGAGAGAGGACGGAAGGAAGGAGAAGGGAGTTCGGCGAGAAGCTAGAGATTCCTCCCAGTCGCTCATGGGAGCGCCTCGGGAGGGGGGGGGAGGGGTGATGTCTCACCTAGTACGAGATGATAGTCCGTCTCGCACTAGGCAATCACTAGATGAGCCGGCCCAATGTGGATTTTTGGGAGGTGGTTTAGGCTAGATGATACTCCGTCTCGCACTAGGCAGGACCATTTTGGACCAGCTTAAGAATATTCTACATGTTTTTTTTGTGTCTTTCTTCATCAGTTTTCCTCATTTTTTCTAGACATGTCTACTTTTTTCAATGCACAACATACATTTCTTGTATGCACGTCCAATACATTTTTGATACATGTTGAAAAGTTACAATTACAAAATTTACATTTTTTTTTCAAATACATGTTGTGAAGATTTTTTTGCATACATGTTAACATTTTACAAATAGACGGTGAGCATTTGTTTTGACTAATATGCGGACATTTTTATTGTATAAACTTTCTTTTAACGAACATTTTTGGAACACATGAATGATGTTTTTTTAATGATATCATTTTTTAAATGCATGAACATTATTTTACATTGCATAATTTTTTTTGAAATGAGTGAAACTTTTTTAAATGTCATGTTTTTTACTGCAATAATGTTTTTAAAAAGTTGTGCGACCATTTTTTTTACACTGCATGGAAAAAATTGGGCGTTTGATAAACACTTTAAAAAATTTGAAGTAACATAATGTATGAAATGTATACATTAAGAATACTAGCAAATATGCCCATGCGTTGCAATGGAAGAAAAACTATCATATTATACAGGTGTGGTAGATATAAAAAAAGTCTGAATCAAATGCCAGGATAAGATAGAGACTTTAAAAATACCATTTCACAAACTATGTCTGAGTGATGTCATGATAAGATAAGGGACTTTTAAAATGTCAATTCAAAAAAAATGTGATGGTCTCATCATGACTTGATTTCCTAAGGCGCCACAACAAAATATTGTTTGGCTGAGCAAACTGCATTGATGGACCGTGCTTGAGCTACACCGATGAATTATTACCTAGCATAGCGCGGTGTTTACCATAACCATTACTACGGTACCAGAATAAACATAGCTGTGTATGGAGGCAAAATAGACATTTAGTCATTTTTATATAGTTTACAAAAACTAACCCATGGGAAGCTGTGTCAATGTTTTTAAATTCCAGAGTATGTTTCGAATACTGGGTCAGTTTAAAAAATGAACTTTTTTATTACATGAAAATTTACTTAAAATCATGATTTTCTTTAATATGCGAACAATTTTTTAAAATCATGAACATTTTATGATTTCCCGAATGTTTTTTGAATTCAATAACTCTTTATGACTTCTCAATATATTTTTTAATAAACTCGCAACTTTTTGAAATTTGGTTCTTTTGAATACATGCTTACATGCTTTGAAGATTTTTTAAAATACATTTTAACATTTTCCAAATAGATGGTGAACATTTGTTTTGACTATGCGAACATTTTCATTGTATAAACTTTCTTTTAAATGGCACGAACATTTTTTGAAATGCATGAATGTCTTTAAATTTTATTTTTTAGTGACACTGTTTTTCTAGATGCACGAAAATTATTTGGCATTGTATGAACATTTTTTGAAACGTGTGAAACATTTTTTGAAACGTGTGAAACATTTTTTAAATGTCATGAACAGTTTTTTACTGCTATATAATGTTTTTAGTAGTTGTGCGAGCATTTTCTTACACTGCATGAAAAAATGGACGTGTGATAAACACTTTTTAGAAAAAAGTAAGTGACATAATGTATGAAATATATATATATATATATATATATATATATATATATTAAGAATATTTCAATATATAAATAAATAAGAATAAAATGAACAAAACAAACTAACGAACATACATCAGCAAAAGCGCGCTACTGAGCTTGTCCACTAGCCTATCGCTCCCATGCTCCATTTTTTCAAAAATGAAATATAAATGTTCCAAACAATTCTGAAAATATTTGTGGATATTGAAAATACATGAGTGTACAATCCCTAAATATTTCAAATCAAAATTTGAAACATACATGAAGAAACAAAAAAGACTAGTCCTGATGTAAATATTGGCGTTTTCACTTTTGTCTTTTTGTGACACTATTCATACTGGATTTGTCTTTTTTGTTTCTAAATGTATATTTCAAATTTTGATTTTAATTTTTTAGGGATTGTACAATTTGTTTCGGAATATTTCGAAATGTTTAAATTTGCATTTTGATAAATTGGAGCATGGGAGCACCTGATATTCTCCCCGATTTCATGGTACCGGGAGCAGCAAATAAGCTGGGCACCGCAGAAACCCTCTGAATTTCCCATTGTTTCTCCAGCGGATAAAGAGGAACATCCAGAGAACGTCCGTTTGGCCCGTTGGAACTGCCTCGAGGTGCCCGCAGTGGAACCACAAACACCAACAGTCTTCACACTGAACTTTCTCAGTTACGTCCATCATATGTAGCACACACTGACATGCGCGGTATTAAAAATACCAGCACAGCTATACAAATGAGAGCTTTTTTTGACATCAAAATGCTCTTTATTGCAAGGTGATCACCATATCTTCTTTTACAAGAGTATCAATAATCTCTACTGGTGGATCTTCCATCCACCACACACACACCTTACAAACGAGAGCTGATATGATATGTTTTGCGCCGCATGGTTGCGGAGTGCAGAGGCTCGAATAATTGGCAATTTTGTTTTAGGCAAGTGCAAACATTCATCCATTTGTATTGCTGGCCAGACACGACTGAAGACTTCACAAGGAACACGAGACAGCGCAAAAGGAACAAGATCGAACGAATAACTTAACGGGCAACTCAACCAGGCTATTTACATCTCTCAATCCTCTCGCTCCTACGTTATTTTGTACAGTTGGTATAAATTATGCTTCATCTCCATTCTCCTTTGCAGCAGGATCTTCTTGTGTTCTGTACAGCAGCACTGCTCTTCTACTTCTTCCAAGCCAAAAAACATGCAAGGCCAGCCCTGGAAAGATTTCAGCTGCAACCGTTTCTGCTTTCAAGAGCCGAGGCCGCGGTCTCGACGGTCCCGAGCAGGCACGAGTAGGCCTTCTGCTTCAGCCGCTCGATGGTTTCGACCAAACCGTCGTCAGGTTTCGCCCCCTCGCTCTGCAGCTGCTGGTCAAGCCAGTTGCTGGTCTCCTTGAGCTGCGACAGCCGGACCGCGATCTGCCCGTCGCCACCCTTGGACTGCCCTCGCACCCGTTCTCTGGTGCTGTTCTTAACTCGGCCCTCAAATTTGAATCCGGACACAAGCGCGTCTTCCAGGAAGTTCAGAAACCATGACTGTGATTCCCTTTTCAGATCGATCCATGACCTGCCTATCTCCTTGAAACCATCTTCTCTGGCCCATTCGAGCTTACCACTCGTATAGGCATCGTCGGGGTTCTTCGCTGCACCACTTCCAGCAGCTTTGTTCTGAGATGCAGAAACTTTCCTTGATGGCTTCTCCTTCTCTGGTCTGGATTCCTTGCCAGAATCTGGCGAGTTATCTTTCCAGAAAATGTTTTGCTGAATGATAAGCCGGTTTAGCTGAAAAAACTTGTTGACTGCGCCATGCGGATCCTCCTCGGCGGATTTCAGTATCTCGGTAAAAATTCTGGAGAAGGGGACATGGAAGTTAGTTTCATTCAACACATGCAGTAGCAGACAATTCATATCAAAACTACAATGCTAAAATGGAAACAGAGGTGTACTACTTACCCAAGGCCTTTCACAAGAGATGCAGCAGCAGTAGCCTCCCTTTGTGCCTCTGCTGCTACTATAAGAGCAATAGTCTTCCTCCTGACAACGGCCTATTCACCACAAAGAAATGAATGTACAGCATGTTCAGAATGATTTCGCGAAGCTTTTTTTGCACATAAAAGAATGGTTTGCAGTTCATAAATGCCCAAGTACTACATACACGACACTTGTTCAACTAATAGAAGACCTGAAATTCAGTCCTTCGTTGCAATTTAGAGATGATAAAATATACCTTTCCAGATTTGATCAAGCATGTTGGAAGGGTATCCCAGGACACGGTTTCTGTGACTCTTCTTTTAATATTAGGCACAGAAGAAACTGGACTGGAGGTAGCATTTGCCTTTGCTGGCACATTGATTCTCGGTGGTGAAGTTCTTGCTGGCGTTGGTGGTGAACTCCTGAGCTTTGGTGGTGAAGTTCTTGCTGGCGTTGATGGTGAACTCCTATAAAGCTTTGGCGGTGAGCTTCCTTCAGTTGCTGATTCCCTTTTTATGTCTCTTGGCATTTGCTTCTTCACTACAGCAGAACCGTTCTGACTGAGTGGCCTGCCACTATTCTTGCGTATTTCCTTATTAACTTCTTGTCTCGTAGAAGCTAACTTGGCATTATTAGGAGAGGTAATATTTGGCCTTTCCTGCAATAACAGCAGCAAATGTAATCACCAACCATCCTAGATGCAATTTTATGTCATATATTTGTCTGCTTAGAAGCTATTGGGCTCATATATTATCTGATCTCATATAATTACCATTAGCATATCAAATTCTCAGAGCCACAATATAGCTAAGTTTAGTGTTCCGTTGTTGATCATATTTCAATTAAACCTATGATCATGCGCATACCTGAGGTTTTGACTCTTGTTTCACTTTCGTAGCACTAGAGACCAGCTTTTGGTTTGCCTCGCAAACACTACTTCCTCCATTACTACTTTTGTCACTATCCATGCTAGAGTTTAGATTGGTAATTTTACCATTGTTGCTTGATATCCCAAGCATGTAACGGGAAGCAACACCGGCCTTCTGCTCTTTGATGACTACCTTCCTCTGAGAGTTTTCCTTTTCACTCTCAGACAATTCAGTTGGCTTGGTAGTTTTCCGTTGTTGATCCAATGCTTCCAAAACCCCAGAGGGAGTTGACATTTGCATCAAATCCTTCGGGTTTCCAATGAAAGGGTTCCTTCCTGGGACTGCTCTGACCCCAACAAGAACTGGAACAGGAACACTGGACTGAACCTTTTCAACATATATGAACTGTCCAAGTTGTAGTTTGTTTGATAAGATGAGTTCATTATCCTCCTTTGATAAAGACACATATGTTGAGTGCGATGAATCTGAAACTTTTATGAAGAAACCATGGTCTGGCCAAAGTTCTGAACCAGTAATTGCAGGAACGATGCTAATAACTTGGAGAAGAATTGACCGGTGTTCTCCACATACTTTCACATCAGAGTTTATATGTTTGAGAACCTTTAACAGTATCCCTGGAGTAAGAGATGCCATATTCTTCTTGAAGCCAGCTTAGCTCTCTTTTCTCTGGGGAAAATAAGATGGAAATTAAGTGTGGTATAATTAGATAATAAAATCCATACACCAACTTAAAAACTACAAGCTTGTAATACAAAATATCAAACAGTTTTTTTACAGTATCAGATAAATCACTTTGTTGTATAAAGTCCAATGGAAAATGTACAAAATAATGTGCTGTTCAAGG